TATATTCAAGCAATAATTCATTATTAATTTACCTTATTCAGGTAAAATGCCGGTTGAAAAAAAATTTAAAAATTATTTTTTTTAATAACAATAAATTGAATAAACTTTGCATTTATAAGAATTGCATCAGAATTTCCAATTCAGCTTTTTATATCTAAATCAAAATATAAAACGACTACATTGAATAAAAAAAGATTTATGCTTCCGTTTTCCTGAAACCATTTTCAACGTTTATAACAGATCTTTTTCGTTTTCATTTTAACGAAAACCATAATTTAGCGTATTTTATTCGTTATTCATTTAAAGCTTATGCTTAAACCAAAAATAAATTCAGAACTACACTAGAAGCCGTTCCACATCGGCAAATTCAACGGTCTGATATAAAAATTAAATTTAAAAGGTAAAACAATGAAAAATTGTATTCTTTACTACAGGGTGGCCACTCAAATCAGGTTTCAGATTTCCCTGATTTTTCCAGTAACAATCTTAAAATTTCCAGGTCAGCATGTTTTACTTTTCTCATAAAGTGCAGGTGGGTACAAGAAAAGTGTCAATATTCTAAAGTATTTTATTTAAAATGTCATTTTTTTTAATGTATCATCTCGAATAGATGTGAAGAAAATAATATGCTTAGCTTTGTGAAATATATTACTTTTAATGAATAAAAATTTTTTTAAAGTGCTAGTTTTGTAGCGTTGCACAAAATGTACCAAATAGCAAATACAGTGACCCAATTTTTTTTAAATTGCCTTCTTTTTCCTGTTGGAATGGATGGATCAATATGTTTTATACAATTTTCCATCTTGTAAAAGTTAGTTGAAAAATCACTACTAATTTTAATTTTAACTATGCAAGATATATTAACAACAATGTATATAAAACTCATATTTAAGCAATATTTCCTTAAATTTAGTAATTTTTTAGTAATTCTGCTAAGTTCTAGTCTAGCAGGGTAATAACGGAAAGAGTTTTAATGCAAGCAAAGCATTACTAAGTTGATGATATTTCAACTATTTGATGATAAATTTCAGTCTAAATAAAGTGGATATAAGGGATGGTAAAATAATTCAAATTAAGAAAAAAATTCCAGGATTTCTTTAAAATTACCTGATTTCTTTAGGTTTTTATCCACATTTCCGACTTTTCCAGTATAAAAAAAAATCCCTGATAATTCCAGGTGGGTAGCCATCCTGTTACATTAAGAATTGTCAACATAATTTAAATTCTTAGGTTTATATATTGCTGAATAACTTGATTATTAAAGTCGATAGCTTAGGGCTCCATATCTGAAAACGATTGGGAACTGCTTGTAAAATAGAATTAATGTTCTAAAATATTTATTAAAATTCAATATTTCTTCCTTATCACCAGCAGCAAATATCGAAATTCAGCTTGCTCAGATGGTGAATGCTGTATAGAATGTAACTGTTAAATATCGTTTCTCATTCTCTATTACATTAGCATACACTGATAGAAGGATTGATAAAGAGGAAGATAGTCTTATATGATAATCTTTGAGTCTAAACTAGATTTATTGTTATTCTTTAAAAAAATAAAATAGACAACAAATAAAGCTCATCAGAATCACACAAAAATTTCTGAGAACAGGCATCACTATAACATGTAAATGAAAATCCAAATTATATTTGCTTGTGATCTTTTGTGATAGGATTTTGCCTGAAAATGATAGGGACAAATTCAAAGCAAATTATGAAAACTACGATACTTGTAGGAGAAAACAAAAATTTTGCAGGAACAGAATAATATTCTCACAATTATAACAATTCTATTGTATTGTGTATGTATTGTATTGTATATATATCTAATATTATTACAACATACGTTGTTTTTTAAATGCTGACAGTTGCTAACTATTTGTAGTAACCGTGATAATTTTGTTTTATCACCGTTGCTGAACAGCTGACCCAATTTTTGAGTTTACGACAACCAATGTTTAACTCCGTAGCCTAGTAATTTTGAACCACATCCAAAAGACAAAGGAACGACTGCGTTATTTGTTTTACATGAAAAGTAAAATCACGAAAACCTCCCACAGTTAGTCTGATGGCAAGGGGACACTGAGCCATGATCCGTCTACCACTGGTAATATTTTACACCGGCACAGAGGTCGGCGCAAGACGGGTGCGGAATTCGTATCGACCAGCTGTTATTGGGATTCGAAACTGGGTCATCAGCGCTCTATCCTCTGAGCTACCGAGGCTAAATCGTGATAATTTGTAAAAGAGAGCGCAAATATTAGGATGCATTTTCCTATCTCCTGCAGAGGGTGATCAAATCATAGGGTGTTCCAAAATAACCGTCCATTATTTTAAAAGCCTTGTCAAAAATGAAGTCAAATATACAATGGTCGCAAATCAAACGTTTTCATAATTTAAAGAATCATTTCTTTGAGGAAGACGAGACTCAAAACACTAGAACCAGTTTGGTTACAGGATAAAATTTGAAATCGTTTCTAACAATCGCTTTACAATTGTAAATATAATCTATAACTTTTGACAGTGCTCGTCACTATTATTATTTTATAACTGGTGTTGAACAGCTGACCCAGTTCTGTATTTACGACTATCAATATTCAACTCCGTAGACTTGTAATATTGGACCAACCCAGAACACAAGAATACGCCTTGATCAAACATATGACAAAGTAGCCTTCGTTCACAGGGGTCTGTCCAGACATTTTGTGAAAGGTCCGTTTTTCGTGAAATTGTGAAAAAAATTACTCACATTCTTTCAACCAGGGTCCGCTTTTATGAATTTGTGCAAATAGGGTCCGCTATTGCAAAAAAAAAACTTTTTCAAGGAGTTTTTAAATTGTAAAGACATACAAGATTATGCTCAACACTGTAAAATTATAATTAAAAAAATTAAATTTTAAAAAATAAACAACAATTGCTGCTTCTAAATTAGAGATGCAACATACAAATATTTGGTATTTAGCCTAT